AGTAGTAGGTGGGGATGGCAATGGTGGCAGCGGTGATGGTGGTGATGGGGTAGTGTCGATGGTGGTAGTGGCGATGGTCATGGGGATGGTGGTGACAGTGGTGGTGGTGCTAGTGGTGGTGGGGATGGCAGTTAGGGTCGTGGTGGGAGTAGGGATGGCAATGCTGTTGGTGATGGTGGCCACAGTGGGGACGACAGTGGTGCTGGTGGTGGTAGTGGAGATAGGGCTCAGGTAGGCTGGCATAGTGTAAAAAGCCCTAAATTTGGAGTAAGAGGTTGGGGATCTGCATGATTGTGGGGGTCTCCTCGTGGCCAGCCAGGGAGCTATGCCTGCGAGCACACTGCAGGGGCTTATGTTCTGTCTGCTCCTGTCTCCGTGGGCATGTCTGTGTGTTTAAGGACTGTGGATGACAAATCCCTTCCGGGCTGCCCCTCCTACTTCTACTCCCCCAGATCAAAAATTAAAGAGGTGGTGCTGTGGGGTTCATGCCTGGAGCGGTGGCCTCCAGAGCCTCTGGAGAACCAGGCCAGGGCCCCTCCATCAGCATATCAAAGTGAGGTCAAGCTTAAAGTGCTCCCTTTGATGTTGCCCGCTCTCCCAGAAAAACAGGTCAGATCCAGCTCCAACCAAATGGAGCCCAAGCAGAGCAAGAGCCTGAATACGGAGGCTCTGTGGGGCCCCCAGATCTGTGTGTCTCTGTGTGTGTCCACGTGTGAGCTTCTTGTGGCTTTGGGCCTCTGTGTATGTGCATGTGTGCGAATGGCCACGGGAGAGGTCTTTGTGTCTGTGTGTCTCTGTATGCCCGACAAGACGAGCCCTGCCTGGGACTTACCCTGGGTCAGGCCGAGTGCCGGCCCTCCACATGCATTACCTTGTGTAACGCTCATACAATCTTATGGCAAAGGTGTTATTGTCCCCATTTTACAGAACTGGGGACTGAGGCTCAAGTTAAGTTACTAGCTAAAGGGTTACATGGCTTGTAGGTGGAGGACCAGGATTTGAATTCAGACCAGGTGGGAGTTAGGGGATGGAGGAGGGGCAAGGAAGTGTGTTTTTGGCCTTCCTCCTCAGGCTGAATCAGGTTCTCTTATTCTACTAGTTTGGATGGAAATGCTAGTATATCACAAGTAGGATTTTGTGGGGAAGGATATTGGTCTCCTCAGTCCTCAAGCTCAAGCACCTGGGCTGGTGGTCCTTGGAGTATCCTTTCTGGGGGCTCTCCAGGGGATGCCCCCACAGGTGGAGAGCAGGATGAGGGTGATCCAGCCAAGGAGGTGTCTGTTCCCAGACATCTGCTGCAGCATCAACGTGAGTGGTAGACAAAGTTTCTGAGCTCCTGGCAGAGCCTAGTACATAGCCCCACATGTAGAGTGGTGGGGTGGGGCGGTGCAGGAGCTCCGGAGCTCAGAAGGAGTGTGGCTCCAGGGGCTGCCTGGAATCTCTGTGGCTCCCTGTTTGTAGATGATGGGTCGTTTCAGTGACACCTGAGCTGGCTACCAGCTCGAACCTCTTTTTACTCTATGCTGTGCTGCATACATTCTCTGCCAATTCTAACTTCAACATTATTTTATGTTTCTTAAAGATATTATTTATTTATTAGACAGAGAGAGACACAGCGAGAGAGGGGATACAAGCAGGGGGAGTGGGAGAGGGAGAAGCAGGCTTCCTGCTGAGCAGGGAGCCCGATGCAGGGCTGGATCCCAGGACTCTGGGATTATGACCTAAGCCAAAGGCAGATGCCCAACCGACTGAGCCATCCAGGTGCCCCTTCAACATTATTTTAAAATACTTGATAAAAACAGTTTGCTTGGGGTCCACCTGGGTGGCTCAGTTGGGTAAGCATCTGTCTTTAGCTCGGATCATGATCCTAGGGTCCTGGAATCAGGTCCTGCAACGGGCTTCCTGCTCAGAAGGGAGTCTGCTTCTCCCTCTCCTCTGCCCCTGCTCCCTGCTCTCTCGCATGCTCTTGTGCTCTCTCTCTCTCTCTAACAAATAGATAAAATCTTTAAACCACCCCCAAGAAACCCAGTTTGACTGAATTCTAAACACTCTATTCTCATTATCATGAGAATTTTATTTACAGTTACAGCAAATAAATGAGTGTTAGGTTCTTTACACACCATTCAAACTCTTATAAATTTTTGTAAAGATCATCATTAAACAGCCTTGAGGTGGGGGTTGGGATAAATGGGTGAAGGAGATCAAAACAAACTCCAGTTATAAGATAAGTCATGGGGACATAATATATGGCATGGTGACTACAGATAATAACACTATATCATATATTTGAAAGTTGCTAGGAGAGTAGATCTTAAAAGTTCTCTTCACAAGAAAAAAAATGTTCTAACTATACGTATGTGATGGGTGTTAACTAGACTTATGACCATTTTGCAATCTATACAAATATCTCATCATTAGGTCGTGCACCTGACATCACCATCATGATATATGTCAATTACATCTCAGTCAAAAAAAAAAAAAAAAAAGCCTTGAATAGGAACTGGTCGTTTCATGCAAAAAACCCCCAAAACAAACAAACAAACAAACAAAAAACCTGATGCTAAAAGGTTGTGCTCATCGAATTTCCCAAATTTCTCATTTTAAGAGGTCTGGGAGATTTCATTAGGATATTTTATACCAATTCAGTATCTAATATCTTTCCTAGTACTTTGTACCACAGCTTTCTTACCATAATTATAGAAGATAAGGAAGATGTGATTTTTTTGTTCCCCACCAGGCTCTATATAGACAGATGTCTCCAACTCCCCTCAGTTTGCCCCAGTGTCTTGTACCAAGGTTATCAGTGTGTTGATCCACTGTGATGGGAAGGTTAGGAACTTCTGCCTCTAAAGTGGGGGTGGGGTGGGGCAGGAGCAGGTGCTCTACGGGGTAGAAGGAGGAGGTGGCCTCCTGAGTACCAGCAAAGGCCAGAACTGAGTATGTGACCACAGGAGGGACACAAGGCTGCTTGGGAACAACTCCTTAGCCATCACCCCTTTACTTGTGCTGTCCCCACTCTGGGAACACCAGCTGCCCTCATTCTGCTCACTGAATAAGGTTAAGAGCAACCTAGCCAATGACCTGGGTTCAAGTCTCAGCCCCCCTTACACAGCAGCCACGGACCTTGGTCAGGTGATTTCACCTCTAGGTAAGATTAGGTGCTACAGTCTTCTCGTTTGTGGAATGGGGAGATTTAAAGAGCTTACGTCTCAGGCTGTTAGGAGAATCTGGGGGATGCTGCGGGTAGAAACTGAGTGCAATTCTGGGCCCCCAGTGAGCTCTCAGGAAATGACTCTGATAACCTTGAATGGTAATGATTATCATCTCTGCATTGGAGTTGCAGTAGTGCATTTTAAAAATCTATATTGGGGTGCCTGGGTGGCTCAGTCATTAAGCTTCTGCCTTTGGCTCAGGTCATGATCCCAGGGTCCTGGGATTGAGCCCCGCATCAGCTCCCTGCTCGGCGGAATGTCTGCTTCTTCCTCTCCCACTCCCCCTGCTTGTGTTCCCTCTCTCGCTGTGTCTCTCTCAGTCAAATAAACTAAAATCTTTAAAAATAAACAAAAATAAATAAATAAATAAATAAATAAATAAAAATCTATATTAGTTTCCCACTACTATAGGAAATTACCCCAAGTTTACTGGCTCAAAACCACACAAGTATATTCTCTCATAGTTCTGGCGGTGAGGGGGTGGTGGGGGTTAGGAGTCTGAAATGGGTCACAGTGGGCTAAGAATCAAGGGCCTGGCAGCCTGTGTTCCAGTGGAGAATCCACTTCCCGGCCTTCCCTGGCTTGAAGAACACAGGCACATTCCCCGGGTCCCCATCCCCGTGTCCCTCCGCCCTCTGCTTCCATCCTCACTTCTCTGCCTCTGACCCTCCTGCTACCCTCTTCTAAGGACACTGATCACATGGGTAGTCCTGGCTAATCCAGGAGAGTCTCCCCATCTCAAGATTTTTAACCCAATCACACCGGCAGAGTCCCTTTTGCAGGTAACACACTCACAGGTTCCAGAGACCAGGAGGTGGCCTTGGGGGCCCATTACTCTTATCTACCGCAGCGGGATCTTTGGTAGAGCAGCTAGCTGTACCCTGTGTCTTCTGCACCCCTGCCCCGTAGCTCTTAGATAGTG